TCATAAAACTTTGCCAAAAATAGGTACATTGTATAATGGTCAATGTTTGTGTAGCAAGTCTATTAACATTAGTAATAGTGTAGACTGTCAACAGTCCTCAGGCCTAATGTAATTGTGTATCCAAGATATTCAAACGCTGAAGGTGTTCGTTAAGATATGCGAACCATTTCAAGCGAGGACTTTTAGTCCTGAGAGACTGTCCCTGTCTGCAGGATTTTAGTTGATATGAATAATTCATAGTTGATGCTGATGTCACAAAATAAATTATATTAACATAATGTATGCAAATTTATTCAGTGTCAAGTTTGTTATCTACAATATAAATGGCAGCCAGTTCCTTCTCAGTGAGGTTATTTACTTGTTCCTTCATCAGAGCAATCAATGGCAAAACAATTATCACGATCGATTAGGGGTGCAGTCCAAACTCTCCAAAACATTGAAAATTCAAACAAAAAGGTCCAACTTCAATGACTTGTCGCTTCCCGTAGGTACGCTAACGAACACATCTCTCCCCTCTATTAAGTTTGCCATAGTGTCTCGCTGATATTCCTTGCCAAAAATTTCATGGTAGTCTAAACATTCCAGCACTTAAATAATGCATTCGTCAAGATTGTTTTGTGTCATGAGATCAAAAACTGCTATTGCGATTGAATAATCGCCTATCGTACAGTCAAAACAAATTTTGAGTAAGTCGTGAGCAACCCACTATAGTGATCCCTGACCTTTTTTACGATTGGCTACGATAAAATGATAGGCATTTCATTTTCAGATGAAAGTACCAAGATCTGGTAAGAAATCTTACCAGTGAATTGCAGCCCTGGACAGTCGGTCGTACCTAATAGCACTCCATACTTCCTGTCCTGGCGTTCGCAATTTATTCATGCCTATTTCATTTATACACAATATTTATTAATAATAATGGATTAATATTAGGTATGACTGACTGTTGTTAGTCTAGTAATAGTGCAGTAGTACAGGTAATCCATATACAAGTCAAATTGTAGTCTAGTGTAGCTACCAGCAGTACCGGTAATGCATATATTAGTAACCACCTTTACTGCAGGAGACCAACCCTCTCTGTGGAGTATCCATTGTTACTGTACCCACCTTCGGTGTCTTTAATTCCAAATGACTGCAATACAGCTTCAGGTGGAGCACTTTCTTTCTGTTTATATGGATCAAAAGCAGCCGTGTCTGCCATGTTCATGACATTCTGCTGCTTAGGTGGCCCAGCATGCACCTCTTCCGCTGTTTCTGGCAATCAGAAATATAATGAAATAAACTATCTCAGAAACAATACACTTACTTTATTTGTCGGATCAATGTAGCAGTAACTCAGACAAGGCGATTCCTATTAGTGAGGGAGTCTTAGAAAGTAGAAGACAGTAACTGGTGTAAAACAAGTGTCTGACTGAAGTAGTTGGCCACCTGTAGCTCCAACAAAAATATGCCTCAAAATGAAAGAAAGTGGTATACCGCAACCAACAAAACAAATTATTGCAGAATCAAAACTTGCTACAATTTTGAAATGAACTGTACTTTGATTTGTACCTGGTACACACAAGATAATCTCCTCGATTTGTGTAATGCACGAAAGAAAAAACACTCTATAACATTTTATTTAACCTGGATAATTACTGAGGTTTATGGTTTTAAAATCCAAAGATCAAATTGAGTTTCAAAAATATTATATATTCCATGAAATAAAAAACTGAAAATTTAAACATTTAAAGGAAACATGCAAAATACAAGCAAACCCCTCAGCACCCATGACGTATTATGCTATGAACCACTTTAATGATGCAAGAGACACATTGTTGTGAAAATCAGAGTGTTCGTAGTTTTCACAAAATTTTATCTTGCATCTTCTTTATAAAAATTATCAAATGGTGAAATATTCCTAGCAGTGAAAATTAAGCAGTTTATAGTACCCGG